AATATTCATAGCCATAATATAGAAACGATACACAGTGATCGAAGACGACCACAGCACAATGGTCGAGTAAATCGGTGTCTCTTTTGTATGGGCTTGCCTTTGAAAAGATCGGGTACAGAACAACAAGTGCTAAGAATACTGCTTGCACAATTGTATGAAGCCGTGCCACTAGCTATTCTATTGTACACCCACCAGACTGATGCACTGTTGCATGGCTCTGGTAATCTATCATAGGGATCACTAAAGTGGTATCCCCGGTGCTCAAAAGATTTGTAAAGCTCAATCTTGAATTTATTTTTGCAGTCTATCGCTCCTTTCCCCTGTTCTGGTTCTGATACTTTTCGTATACGGCAAAGCTTTGCGAAATCGGTGTCTGTGAACCCTGATCCGCAGTTTGGGTTCTAACGTTCTTCTCCCTCATAAGGTTTGTGGCATGGTCTGTGTAGCAAGCTCAGAGGCAGGCCCTTTGTTGTGGTCGGAAACATCTAGAATCTAGTAAAAACACACAAATGGAAAGGGAAGAGGAAAAGGTGATGGCGAATAAAGTCTAGTCTTGAGGACCATGTAGAAATAAATAGTATCACCTTTCAGCAGTCCTATAAACCCCTTACTTACCATTTTACCGAAGGAAAGTCTGTAATGTTGAAAGCTGCGTGCCGTTTAACACCAAATGACGTTACTTGTAATAGCAAAGCGCAATGAGCGCGCCCAATTCGATGATATTTTGAAACAATAATTAACGGCAGTACCGGGTGCAAAACCACGATACAGAAAGAAGCGTTAACTATATACCTTCAACATAAAAATATTTCTTTATTTATTATTATTATTAGCAAAATATTTTTGATTAGGCTGTTCGTAAACAATTGAATCTTGTTTTTCGTTTTGCCTAACCCTTCTCCCAAACTTGTCCATTCTAGTGTCTTCCAAAATAGTCACAGTTATCAAGCACTTGCCCAGTGATGTTTTATACAGATTGCTAGTAATTACTAGTCAGCCTGAAGAAGCTGTTGAGTTCGCGGGAACGCTATGACACAACCACTTTTGCTATCCTAACCCGACCTATCGTTGACGCAATACATACATTCTTGATGCCCCCGAGCAGATCCTGTTTGCTAAAATCGAAAGGAAAAAAAAGGTTTTATCGTGCTAATTCGTTCAGGAACTGACCATCGTGCAGAGTGGTCTAATAAGACTACCTATGTAACGCTGTCAAGCCAGAGGGGATTTCGTAAAAGACATCAGTTTTACCAATTCGGCAGGTCCGTACGAGCACGAGATTTTCCCCATGCTTCTTGAACAAATATTTCCTTTTTTAAAAAGGAAAACGTAGTTCTCCTTCTTTGCTTACTTCGTAGCTAAATATACTTTAAGAGACAGTTCAACATTCAGTGCCAACCAAATGCAATACTGGGAATGGCGCTCCGAAGCAGGCCAGTTGATTGGTCGCCCTGTGATTCGACAGGGACTAGTGCGGATTTACGTTGACAATATTCGTACTTTGTAGTTGTGTAACTCAAATCGAATGATAATGGCATAATACGGATCTTCGAATCTTTCGATAACAAATATTAGTACAACTGATAACATATCTACACTTGGATGTGTCCTGAATGAAGGAGGAAATCTCCGAACTGAGGTCGGCTCCTAATAGCTTATTTACTCACTCGGCTAATTCTTGTAGACAAGAAAGTGTGTAGTAAACCTTTTAAGTGTCTTTGCTTATCACTCAAGGCTGAATGAACGAGTAATTAATTTATTTTCGGGGGCCGAGGCTGCGCAAGGACGTGAGACGGTTAATTTTTTCAAGATTTAGTCGATCTTCCTACTCTGAGGTAAGCGAGAATTTCACAACGAGCCGACCATTTTGCCGGCAAAGGTTCTATTTTAAATGAATTAGAAATTATTCATTCTGTGCGCCGCTCCTTCAATCTTATGCTATGTAGGGATGAGTTTAGCCGTTCAAATAATAGACAGGAGTTCAAATAGAACCGTCACGACACAAACACATGAATATGATACGAAACAAAAAGTTTGAGATGCTTAATAATAGCAGATTATAGCAGCTTCCCATGGCGCAGGATATGCGAACGTCAAAGGCAGCATTCCTAAAACCGTCATTCTGTAACAATATACGTGTACTACTAACGATCTATTAATATTTTTACATAGGCAATAAGAGACCTAGGCCGACATGGCAGTGCTTCAAATTAGATCGTGCCGTGTATTTTATTGAACAGTGGCAAGTAGTAACAAAAGCATTAAAAATAAAACTCAGCAAATCTGAGAGGTCAAGAAGGCAATTTGGCTCTATCAAAGAACAGGCGACTTAGACTCGAAGCTATCGAGCGAACCGCTAAATCCATTTCCGGACAAAAGAAAAAAGGCTTGTATGACTTGACGATATAATATACTGACGGACATCTTCCTGCGCAGCTGAAAAGTTTTCGCCGTGAATTCGACTACTCTAAAGCGCTTTTAGATGTACCGACGATAAAAGTCCTCGAATAGGGAGACATCTTAAAGGTGACCATGGTCGATGTTATCGACTTCATCTCGATGCCGACCGCTAACGTCACAGCTAGGGTTGCTCTTCGACGACAGTAGATACCTTTAAGTCAGCGATGTAGTTGTAAGATGCGTAGGGGTATTAAAAGCTCCTATTAGCCTCACAGATAAATATAACATATGTGGCCTTTGTGAGTTTACGTTTGGTTTTCTCAAAGAGTATATTACCCCATTTATGACGACAAATGTCGTCAAGTTAATGCGTTCGATGCTCGAGAGTGACAATCTTGTTGTGCGTTTTTTGAATCAAAAACGAAAATTTGATGTTTCGCTTTTCACAGTATGGCCTAAAAGGCGTACAAAAGGCCAAGATGGGGCTGGCGGACAAGTTTAAAAAACTGACTTGGTTTCCATTTCTGAAGATACAAACGGTAGCATAGTTGGAGAAAATGTTGGACCTAGTTAAGAACTTACCAGAATATGCAGAATACTGCGAAGACGAAGGTATGCTTTGCCTATGATCACTTTCTGTGGCGAGAAATTGTCGCTGCTAATTACAGGGAAACACCGTTAGTGGTGATGCGCAACGTTCTCGGCCAATCTTTTCTTGTCCTAAACGACAATGAATGCAGGTACACGAGTGACCTGTTTTTTCTGTCTGTATGCGGTCACACGATATCCGCACACTACATTGGAAAAATATATAGGTTCAGTGGCCAGGCACAGTCGGATTCTGCCCTAGTTCTATACGCAAAGACCCATGGCAATTTTTCCACATCGATAATCAGTCTCGTCAACATATCCTATGACCATATTGGTAACGTAAAGTCGAGAATGTATTAGAGTACCTTGGGAGGTGTAGACATTAAGGATAACGACTGGCCGTTTTGAAAAATTCACCATAGACAACCATAAAGGCCCTGACTTCTGCCAGCCTGTACCAATACTGTAGCCAACTTGTTTTCGATACGAGGCATTTGTTCCTTGTTGATGCGGCAACTAGAAGGCCAGTGATGCTTCGAACTAGGCAAGGCGATACCCTGTTCATATGGGGCACTATGGCAGCGATCGACGTTTTACGCGGACGCATTCGATCTATTGAATCGGGGATGGGGCCGGTATATTACTAAAGGTCCGTTAGCGGCCCGTGAGAATTGAAGGAAGCACTTGCACGATAGTCGATTATGAAAACTATTAAATATTTGATTAGTCAACTAAAATTATTGTCTTCTTTTATAATTTTTCATGTTGTCCCGAATTGACCGCAGTAGGCCGATCTATCAAATGTATAAAGAAACACCGAGATATGTTTGTATTTAACTTTTACTTCAGTTGTAAACATTTTCTCTTCGTCTGCAAATCTCTCGTTGTCTGTTGTGCATTTCTGGTTACTAGCGGAAGCATCGTTCGAGGTGTGTCCAGTGACTGGACCCAGCTTGGTTTTGCTTGGGGTGTACCCGCTACCTGACCTCGAAACGGCGTGCTAAACACCGTACTTATTGTCACCTCGGTTTGACTGATTATTTCTGATGGGTAGTTGACAGCCCTTACGGCTAAGAGGGGTGTCATGATTAAGTCTGCTTTTCATGCAGAACGCACGTTGAGATTTGTATTCGAATACTAGATTTGTCCATTGTTTGTTGTTTATCCTTTAGTCGAGTGCAACTGTTTGTCGAATTTATTGTAAATATTGGCTAAAGAGGCACTATGGACCCTTTAAACCCTAGCTATACGCTGTATAATAGAAGTAAATACCTAGTATTCGTCACAATTGGTCCAGTTTGCTTTAGCGACGCCTGAATAAGACCTGCAGCACTTACACTAGGAATCGATATAATTGATTTTGCTTGAGGAGGTTATAAAAGAACTATATTTTTATGATGCCATCAACTATAGCTGTTTCAAATGGGAGTATAGTTGGTTATTGTTTAATTCATGCGCATATAGACAGTGTAAACTTACCAAGTTCCGCATATTTGAATCTTGCTAAAGATTACTGTAGAATATTTTATTAGCGTATTTGTTTTATTAAGATTAGTAACGCAATGTATCATAGACTAGTGCGTTGCGGGTGATCATGTTTAAAAAATCGAAAAATTATTGTATATATATATGTAATATTTTTTTTTTGATATCCATGTCTAAGTGTTCAGTTTCCCTTAGGGTACGTTATACAACGCTCTAATAATCGCGCGATGCACAGGTCCCTTCGTATTCAACTACAGTTTTTCCCTTTGTCCACAGGAACTGCACATTAGTCGTTGGCCTTGTGGGTTGATTTTACAATAAATGACTGCGGGAAAGAACACGCCTTTATGTAGTCACCACCGATATGGTACCTCTTAGCTAACCGTAGACGATGTACGTTATACTACACATTCCTTTTAACCCGAACAGGGATCTCGACCTTGACACAGATCTTACTTTTTACCGAAAACATCATAGATTGTCGGTGTATTCTTTTGTCAAGACACAGACTTGACGTTGGGCTGAATATTCTCTTCACATATGCCATATGTCCACACTGGCGACAATGACAACCCTATTAACCCCCCTTAGATTTGTCTACGGACTGCATCTTGGCAACCTCCATTTCTACTGAATCATACTGTAGAAAAACTGCAACACTGAACTCTTGGCTAGCCTTACGCGATTCTCGCTTCTTTGAATGTTGCGCGTTAGCTCATAGTATTATATACATAACTGGTACTGACAAATAGCAATTTATTTGGATTCAAGAAGCTCCTTATAGACATATTTGAGCCGCATTTACTCATGAATTGGGATGCTATTAGGCACCCGTCCCTATAATATCAATTTTACTTAACGACACGTCCTGTGTGATCAGAATTGACGCCATGTTTTCAATAGAGAGCTGAAAGCAGATTTATAATGTTTACGTATAGTGAAGTACGACTTGGTGACGATGTTGACTTTTAATGTTTCCGCGCACGCTATGAACACCTCGCGGATTTCGAAACCGTTAGCTAAACAAGCCGGAGATCACTAACGCAAAATGCTACGCCCTTCAACCCGCCCCAATTTGTCGTAGCTAATGAATGAATGAATACTCTTTGACTGCGTGTTCTATCCGGAAGCTTTCCAATCTCTCTGCAGCAAGCCATGTGTCGTCCGTGACGGCGCAGGGCCGACCTAGATCCATCGGCACCACTCCTATGTAACGACTATTGTGAAGCTACAACTTCTGCACTATTTCAAATGTCCCCTCTTGTTGATTGAATTTATCAACAATGAATCCGGTTGAATTTTCGTTGTCTGCTACGGTGTAGACGTTGTTTCAAACGATCAGCGGCCGCTGGCGGGACCAGGGCTGTTGTAAGCGAGTTTCGGTTATGCGGCATTTCGACTCACGAGTCAAAAGGTTAAACGCGGCCATACGAACCTCCCACTTCCGTTGTCATAGTACCAAGCAAAAACTGCGTCACTTCGTCTTGTAGACGGCTTCCAGCCGCGCACGTCGTCTGGTGGATTGCCCAGTATCGCGGAACGCCTTGCTGCTGTATCGATGAATCGAGAAAAGCACGTGTCGAAGCTTCGGGTCTGCTGTTGTCTCCGATCAATTCCTTAAAATGGCCGCTCGCAGCATCTGGTGCGTGGCCTCGCAGTCGAACACACATGTACAATGTAATCATGAAGCACGGTGATACCGGGTGCGCGAAACTTGCCAGGGACTATTGAACTAGAACGAAATCGTTTTTTATCTTGTTAATGCTGAAACTATAGACAGTTTGACCGTCGTTCGAGTAGATTGTATGGCCACTAATTACTGAAGCGGATCTTCGTGTAGTCGTCGTGTTGAGGCTGGTTAGCACTAAGCGGTCCGTATGTTCTTCTAGCCGACCGGGACCTCTTTTTTACCACAAGAAGTGACAGTGAGCCACTGTCTATCTGCGACGTCGAAAGAGGGGTAAATCCAGATTCTATTTTGGTGGTGCTAATTTTTGCCTTAGAGCCACAGTCGGACCGACGAGCACTTTCTCCAATTGCTCTACCGTTTCTGCTTTAAGAAACGGAAATCTTATTAGCTCCTTGCACTCCCCTGCATACCACATCCTCGCCATTTGTTTTTTGTCAAGCCAAGCTGTCAAAAATTCAAACACTGAATCCTCATGAAGTACGAGGAGATTGTCACTTTCGAGAAAGGCACGTATCAGATTAGCATCAACCATATCAGAGAAGAAATCTGTTGTTATAAGTGGCGTAGTATTTTTCTCTAGAACGCCAAACACAAATTCACAAAGGTCCCTCATGCAGTACTTGTCAGCAGTGCAATACATTTGAGTGGCGTTGTCTGTACTAATGTTAGCTTTTAATGCTTTTATACACTTTGTCATTATTCGGGTGACTTGGAGGTAATGGGCTGTTATGAATAGGTCTAGATCATTATCGGCGTTGAAATCATCGACATGCGTGTCGATGATGTCAAGTATTCTGGTCATTATCTCCTTACAAATATCTCTCAATATTACTTCCAATGAGCTGGCCTCTACCATAGGTATATCGAAAAGCGCTTTGACGTAATCGGATTCGGCGGCAAGGACGTTTCTATGTGCGCGAAGGGTGCCGTCAGCACATTCGATTGTGAAGTCATAAGGAGCTTCTTCGAGCTGAGACTGATTCAGTAGTTCGGCGCAACGCGTTCGGGTCGAAACCACTGGACCCCATCGACGGAATAGTTTTGAGGTTCGGAGCAAGGTGGTTAGTGTACTCGTCAGTGTCAGGTACACTAAGAGAAATAAGCGGCACGCCTGAATTGAGGATGCTTTGTCACATCGGCGTGGCCATGCAGAATAGCAAGGTAACAGTAATTTATTGTCCTACAGACCAAGAAGGGACCGCATTATATGTGGTGTTTTCTACGAAGAGTGTCGGCATATCACATTCAAACGTGGACAACTCGTCGAGTTTTCCATTCAAAGCCACATATTTATTCCGTATACTGTTCCGCCACACTCCTACGAACTTCTGGTTGTATGCATAAGCTATGGTCCAATGACACACTCACCGAACTGAAACACAGGCACTTCAGTTAACGTGCGATTTACTGAAATTTCTGCCTCTCAGAGATGGCGGACTTGGATGCCATCTTCATAGTAAACGACAAGAAGTGACAACTTTGGCCCTCGCCATGTTTGGGACGAGAGACGAAGCCCTACGGTCATCCGCCAATTACTAATTCACGGAACTACATGCCTATCAGTTCTGACACTCTGTCTGAGTTTTCAGAGATTTCACTATACGACCAGGCTGTAGCCATAAAGGTAATCAGACGAAGTACAATTAGAAGTGAGACTTCTGAGACGAGTGATTTGAATTCCACTTCGTCAAAATGCGTCAGAAAATATACGGCTATTTGCAGTGTCAGGCGGAGTTCAGCACCTCTGCCAGCGGTAATGACCTAAGAACTATCAGTATCTGAACAGTTAAATACACATAAAAAAAATTTGAATGTGTCGTTAATTTGTCTCAAGAACTTAAAGTAGCCAAAATAATCCAAGGAGAAAATTGAAAAGATCAACTAAAATGGCTACCCCGTGTACTGAAATAATTATTAGGCTGGGATCTAATAGTATACGGTGTGCAAAGTTCTTACGAGAAGACCGCCGGCGAAAAGGGGACCTAGTGGATACATTCAGACCGTTCATGACACCTTCAAGTACAACCACGAGTGACCGATATGGGAACTACGAGGGATCAAAGCTATTACAACAGTCTCGATATAGTTCACCGCGCGAATCGTCATTGAAAGGGATGTTTACACCGCAACCGGATACGGCATTTATTGCCATACTTTGCGCTTGGCTCAGCCGAGTTCCATTATATAGAAGTGGGTCGGCTCACTTAAATCTGCTTTGCATTGCCAAGAACACATGGCTTTCAAAGCTGTCTTCAGAGCCTTCTGTGAGAACGTTGAATCAAAGGGTGGTCATTAAGTAGTTGCGACGGTATACAGTACGTTAAACGACAAACAGACTGGATCGTCAAAGCAATCGATTAGTAATTATTCAAATTCGCTAAAAAAAAAAAATAGTAACATGGATTTTATGTTCAATGCAATTTTGCTGTGGCGAGATAAAAAGCATGCTATAAGCCGCTAGCTTGCACTACGTACGCGACCAAAATACAATGCGCGGGAGTCCAGACATTACATTAGTAATTAAATAGGCTTTTGTGATGTTTTTGGGGGCATTCTTTGAAATTCGTTTCATGCATCGGAAACTCAGCTTTCTGTTATGTTTTTTAATCATCTAGAGCCCCAATCGATTTTTGCCGACCATTTCTGTGGATAGAATTACAAGAATCGTAAAGGCCATTTCGGAACGAGTCCGCAAAAAGCCTCAACTCGTTTGACGTACGTAAGTCCTTTGAACAGCTTCTCTACGACAGACTGAGAAAGATAGCGAAGAAGAATAATAACAATATTCAGCTTTCTTTTCTCGTAAACAGAAAACTATACCATTTTCTAACGCAGTCACCACTTGTATTAGAGAGCTTTCTAACATTCAACGATCCTTCAGATGATATACGATTTTGGAAATGTAGTCAGTTGGAAATAACTCTGCTTTACCTTATAAGTTCGCCCTGTACATGTTTTTTTTTACGCGTTTCATGTACGTCTTCTGTGATAACGTGTTATTAGCTATGGTTGATACCTGTGTTGCCATGACACCCCTCTCACGCTCAATGACATGGGTCATTGTGCGTGAGAGGGTTTAAGCCGAGTTTAAGCCATGATGGGAAACACTTGAGACAACATTTCTATAGAATATCTTCTAATTTGACTGACAAAATAAGTATTTTTATCCAATTCGGTAACCGAATTAGATCTTGTTTTTCCTCGATTTCACTTATCGGCGTCTGACGATTATGCCTTCGTTTGACTTGACTATTTCCAAATAGCTTACTTCGCTTGAGGCATTCTAAAAGTTGTGCGTTATATCGTTCGATAAATTCTATCGAGTAAAGAACTGAGGACAGCCTTGACATGACAAACATCAATTTCTAATAAATGCTTGCATGATTTCGTTATTAGTGTTTTTTTGTTGTTTTTAGAAGTACCCATCATGTCATGCAGAAAGGACCACCTTAGCACCTGTCTGGCTTTATATTGGGTTAAGCCAATTTATTAAAAATTCAATCAGATACAAATGAATATATTAGTTAGTCAGCTACAGCTGAACAAACTATATGAACATTCGTGCAGACAATTAAAATGCTCGCCACGAAGGCTGTGCGAAATGACCAATGGAACAGTTGTCCGTTACGGATTAAACGTAACTTCCGTACAAACTTGCACGCGAAAAACTCACGCGTGAAAAAACGGTAGCTTATATAGATGACCGAAAAAGTACAAATCAAAAATGTCACCACACAGAAATAGATCTAACAGGCTTAAGCTAGTGTTCAATGAGAGGTTCAAACTAAATGAGATTCACCGTTTTTTGTAGCGTCACATAGAACGAAGTACTTTGTTTAACTGCATTGCCGCGATTGTGCCCATATTGTAAAAGCTCTGCTTACCAACAGTAAACACAATCTGACAAATACTTCCACTTGAGTCCCTAGTTTCTTTTGGGAACGATTAGTTGTAGTAAAAACGTTAAAAATAAAATTCAATAGATGAGCCAAGAAAGCCATTCTGGCTGTGACAAACATAGAATCCAGCGATTCGGACTTATATTCCGTTTATAGGAACTACCGAGTGAGCTACCGAGTCAAAACAATCAACTTTCCCTACCATGATTGATTTGCCAGCGTTTCTGGAGTTGAACTGGGAGACATTTCGAAACGGACCATGGCTGAGACTATTGACCTTGTAAAAATGTCTAAATCCGTTGAAATACAATTGAAATCTCCTGAGGCTCCCAACACCCATTGCTTATAGTTACCTTTTATGGTAAAGCAATTCCTTCGGTGGAATCGAAAGGGGCGCTGAAAAAACCTGCATCAACAAAATATAATGTTAATGGAAAATCCTAAGACATTTTAGTTTCTGGCAACATTACGATGTGAAATATGATTTTTTTTTAATTGTATTTCTTGTTGGATTAATCGGACCCAGTCTCGTTTGACTTCTTTCTCCGAACGTCCTCCCTCCATTCTCATAGTGATTTATCCTTGTAAGGGAACGACTCGATAGTTTTGTGCTGGAAAGAGCCATCTGTACTATCTGAAGCAATGCTAATTACTTGTCAGTTTAAGAAAACGTAGAGATGGGTTAATGATAAATATGCGCCCTTTATCGCATCTCTCGTAGCGACTGTCTGCAACACCTTTTCTTATCTCCAAAAATAGAACTAACCTTGCCTTATTCTGTGTTTAGGACGAATATTTCTAGCCAAAAAGTAAAAAGGACTATTGTCCATACTTTCGTTTACACGAATTTTTGACCTACGCTATCGAAATGAGACTAAGTTAAATCTGGGCCGACTGTGTTAGACAAAAATCAAACTTAATGTCTCGAGTCTCCCGTTCAGTTTTGCCGCCTCGATTAAGTATCGCTTCGAACTGTTGCAGATGTGGACCACTTGATTTCGAATCGGGAGGTCTAATAGGTTGCTATCGCACGAATACGGAGGCATGAGCGAATAGGACAAAATTGTCAAAAGCTTTTAAGCGATAGGGACTCATTCACCAGGCATAATCTTCTCATGTACAAAATTAGGGGTCACTGCGTTATGTTCTGACAACTACACGCAGCACTTCGAGCTATAAGTTGGGCCTTTCAAGCTACAGCATTGGCTATACACGCATAGCAATATTAGGCCCCCCAATGACGTAAAAATCCTCTGGTCGCGGAACGATACTTCTAGCTCTAAAGCAGATAGAAAAAACTTCAGCTAATATATATACAGACGTAACAGCTATCAGGGGCCTCTACAGGTCGCGTGCATAAATTGACGCTTTCATATTTAAGCACAGTTGCGCATTAGCCTAATTGCAGCCCAAGCACTTTTGTCCTTATGATACGTTCGTATTAAAGGCGAATATGAGGCCAGAACACGGCGGATAACCTGAAATAATCAACCTTAAGGCAAGCTAAGGGTTACAAGGCTTTCTTCCTTTATAATATAGCCTTTTTATTGCACTGGTCTGACTGCTTCTTGCACCCGGACCGAAACGAGAACCCACTGTTAGAGTTTATTTATTATCGTACGGGATAGTTATGCGCACCATTAAGACCGCTTTTATAGAGCGTTCGATCGCGTAACTGTCAGTGTTACTCTACGAACCATTCAATTTCGAATGAGCTTCTAACAATGAATCGTTGCCAGCTACAGGCTGTTGGCCGCCCGCGATTAGCTGCAGTCACTCGACTCTCATCTACGAAGCGACCCTCTGAATGTGGAAAATACGATTAAAAAAAAAAAAAGGTTTAATCTCGATATTTGATATCGATTTTATGTTTGTCAAAGTTACCAATCCTCCATTCTTTTTGTAAGTACGTCAGGTATTATAATACAGAATTGTGACTTATATGTTTCCACCGCTTGCCGTCCGCGTCGCAATCCTAGCTACAGTTCAACGATCCTATGGTATGGATTTGTGGTCTTTGCCTCGACGTATCTCGTTTTATCCAATCATTCTGTTGAGAATTCAGTTGACAAGTCTTACGGACGACTCGATATAGATTTAACTCATAGAGGTAGGCCGAGGTGTGACACTCAGCCAGAAAATTACCACAATCCACCGTATATCGCGCGCGTAAGTGTCTACCTCATTTGTAAGTAAGAATAATATTACAAAATCTCAATAATGTAGAAGATAATGCCTTTCAGATAGATGCCTTCAAACGTTCAGGTTAGTTACTCCGAAGTGTGTCGTGCTTTATGTTAAGTTCGTAACGAAATAGCAACAGGCCGTAATAACCGCTTGACGTGCAACGCCATTTCTTATTATCTAGATCGTCAAAGATACGTAAGACTACACGTTCAGTTCTATTTGTCTTTCGTAAGTAAAGCCATTTTATCTGGCCGTCGCTGAACGTTTTTCGAACCAGTTTTATTGACGATCATTGGACTTCAGAAAGAAGTTCGGCATGCCAACAATTTTACATATAGAATTGGGAAAAATCTTTTGACAGCTTGCTACCTTACTTATGGACATATATCTGTCCATATGATATAATGACGATGGCTTCAACCCGTCCAACGGCTGTTGCAATAGTGTAGTGCAGCCCAATTCCCGCTCACACACGGTACCCCAAGCGCCCATCTGGGATGAACCTACGGACTCGTCGCATTGTCTGCCAAAATCGTCTTCATTTGTCCCCCGCCCGTACGCTCGAGGCAGACAAAGCAGGTAAACATAACTGGCGATAGTGCAACAGGTTCCGTTGCTGTATTTTGTACTTCACCGTAGCTGCTGTTGCCGGCGTTTGTATACCCGGTGGGAGTCATTGATTTAGGCCTTGAAGTGAATTGTTTCATTTGTACTAAGAAATGTGGCCTTACCTAATTCGTCGCATAGAATCTGTCCTAGTGAGTGGTTCACATATATCGAGAATTTCAGTGAGACTTGTACTCCCTTTTCCCTCTCGTATATATGTGTACGAATACAGAAGGCATATATGTAAGTACGCGCGGAACAAGTACGAGATATACAAATAAAGCTAATTTAATACATCGGTGAATGTCCGCGTTGTTGATAGGCGCTGGGGTGCGTCACATTTGAAAACACGTAAATAGTTTGAATGGTACCAGCTTCAGTAAACCCATTTAGAACACGGCCCATCCACCTTCTATTGGACTGGCATTAACCCTGCCCGATAGGACAAATTAACAGAGCTCTCCTCGAAAATCTGGACTAGGATTTTGCAACGCATATCAGTTAAACGTAGCTTCGAGGTGTGCTTAGCAAACCTCAACTTCCAAGTGTCCTATAACAAATAGACGACTAGTTCTTTTCGGAATAAGAATTCGACCTTTTTGGACTTTTAAAAGATCGATATTAATCTAACCTAAGTCCACTATAGAACGCTTAATTCAGAGTATGTTTGTTTGTGTATAAAAAGGGGTTTCTATTAATGGCGTAAAGCAAAGAATATTAACCAGATCACTCAGTTTCAAATATACGTAACTTCTCTGTAACTTCCACCGTTAAGCAACTGGACTCGCAGCGTGACAATATTGCCATGGGAACAGAACTTTGACTGCCGTGAAAAGGCGAAGGGATACGACCTAGCACCAAATCGATCTCTAAAATTTCTTTAAATAGGCAAAGTGTTACAATCTGGTGCCTATCTAAATATTATAGTATTTCGTATTGTGCTGTCTAAGTCAAGTAGAAAATAGTTTATTTTAATACTTACTTAGAAATAATATTTTTCTTTCGAATAAAATGGTCAGCTTGTCCGTTGGGTGCCGCAGTTACTATCCTGCACTATGCAAGCGTTTTCATCTACCTGTTCGTCTGTATACTAGCGATAATTGATCTTCATCGGAACGCTTACCACCGCGTCTATCTACCAATGACGCTATTGAGATGACTCTGTGAGTCGTATGTCATAGATATTGCAACAGCTGAACACTTCATTCGAATCCATATGACTCATGAAGCTTTTTTTTTGAAGCCTTTTCCCTGTCCCGAGCGAGTTTTGCATCTCTCTATTGAAACCAAAGGACCACCATTGAGGATGTTATTTAAAGACCGTAATAGATCATTGTACAATGGTGCGAGATCCAAGCTATACATACGG